CTTTTGGTGGCCGCGCGGGATTACTGCCGCTAAAAGACTTGGGATTCCGTCTCCCGAGGGACGGACGCGACGGCGCCGCGCTCTCTCGCGACCGAACGCTATGCCGGAAGGAGTGGCAACTTTCACCCTAACTCTTCTGTAAACAACATATTGTTCCTACGCCTCTGGCCTTTCCAAGACTTCTCCTATATCCTAAGGAACCGGGCCTAGAAGATCGTAGCTGTTAGGGTTAACCGTTTTATCCTTAACACCTATAGAACTAGCACTGAGTGGCTGCTGGCAGACCTCACGAGTGGGCCCCAAGGCAGAACGGGACATTTGTGTCTGGTAAGTGATCGATAAGTACTTCTCACCCAATTTATAGCCAGACAACTTTTGATTATCGAGAACCTGGTTACTCTGTTTTCATGCCCAAAAACCCAGTGGCCCTAGCTGCCAATTACCTTTGCATTTGCCCAATATACTTGTATCCGTAAGTGCACATGAATTCATACATAAAATTGTGGGTGCTTTGCCACGTCCTTTCTATGATACAGCGCAACCTTCGTTTTATTGTGCTTTAAATAGGGTCGTAATTGAAGGGGGAAGATATCATAAAAGGCTTTTTCGGAAATTACTTTTCCATCAGTTTTGGCTATTAACAGTTGCTGTTATTTTGAATGAAGTCTACAAGTCAAGTAGGAATGCTTAGGTGCGGGCAAGTTCTGTAGTTAGGGCCTCAATAGAGAAAAACATTCATCGCACTTTAAAAAAGAATATATACCAGATTTCGTCCCCGTTGTATTGCCGCAGAAATTGTTATTGTTGATATATTGTGGATATACGACCTTGCGGTTACTGCAGCCTTTCTGCACACACCAATGTTATCCGTAGCTCTTTGGGGTGATGAATTCGAGAGAAAATAGGGGCCCTCGGATGAAAACATTTGTATTAAAATGATTTTAAATTTTAAATCGCTTCGTGAAGAAAACGCCTTAAGTAATATCGGCGACTTCGTAGTCTGTAGCCTGCATCGATGCATTTTAGTATTTGGCCAATAGTAGGGGGCTGTGGTGCATCAGCCAATCAGATTTGAGCATTTTATGCCCAATGTTCTGTAATGGGAAATGATAGACGCTTTTCACTCTAGGTAGTCCATCATATTAGCGATTTACGGATTAAATATCGGAGCGGTTTGTCAAGCAGCATTATGAGTGAGTCCGAGTGAGTTACGATGTACTTGCCTTATTTTATAGTCTTCCGATCGACGAACTGATGGAAAGTCTGGACACTGATAGGTCCGGGACAGTAAGTGCCGAAGAACTTTTCGCAGCTCTTGAAGGATCAGGGCTTAGCCTGGATGATATAAAGGATTTCATTGCCACCATTGACAAAGACGGTGATGGCCAGCTTGACCGGGAAGAACTGCGGGCCTTTTTCAGAGCAATAGGATACTAAATATAACTTAAAGGCCGAAATTAATAATACTTCCTCACGTTCTCTTATATTTTTGCTACAATAATAATCGAACCACGTTTACTATCCCATCTTTTTAAATTTCGAAGACGATCCCTACATTCGTTCACAGGAGCACTTTGGGGTGGATGCATGTACAACTTAATTTCTTACTTTAACCCGATTTGGTTCGTAGTTCATCCGCTTTTGATTGCTTTTCGCACTACCATACACAGAGTACTTATTAAAGGGAATGTGATCCATGAAGAACTAGTTAAGCATTTGAATGATCTAGGAGACTTTAGCAAAGACCATGGATAAAAAGTGAACGTTTGAAGCCAGAAACATTTGTTTTCTTGCTTTTTTATAATTTTACTCCTGAAATAACAGGAAAACGTCCCTTTTTACTTGATTGTATTTCGAAAGCATCTAGCGAATTATTTTACGGAAATCTTTGAAGCAACCATTGGAACGTTTAAAAGCCTAGTTCTAATGTCCGACGACTCAAACCTCCGACTTTCGCAAATAAGTTTAATTTTTAAACAGTATGCTTCTAAAGTATTAACTGATTACGATAAGGCGTTTATGTCAGTACAGGGGAGGGCACATCGTTGTCCGAGCATTGCATACCAAATAGAGTCCTCGAAAACCTAACTGGTTACCAACGATCCTGTCACTCTTGACCGATTCGAATGCATATCTGTTAAACTTCGATAGCTGGCCTATTGCTGCGATTACCAACCTTATTCAGGGCCTGTAGAAACAGTGGATTCTTGGTTCGCTTACTCTAATTTATGGCAGTTCCGGTTGTTCTCTAACACCACTGCCAATTGCATGTGGCGAGAGTTCTGGAATATTCCGGCTGTGACATGGCATGCACTAATTGGCCGACTCCTGCGCGAATATCACCTTCGGGAAAATATCGACTTATCAATCTTTACTACGCGTAAGTCAAACATCACGCGTGGTCGATATTGCAGTGCGCGCCAATTGGCTTTCTGTCTTAAAATGCCGTGCCCAAATTGGCACGTGACAAGACGCGCGGCTGCGTTCTTCTGCCGTATGCCACGCCATAACACTATCCTTCGCAAGAAAGGCTTTCTAGAACAAAATGCTGTTGGATGTGAGGGCTTGGTAGCCTAACAATAAGCATTTCTGCTCAATCCGACAAAATGCAACACTCGAAACCCCGAGAAGGACGTATTATTGCTCAAACGAGCAATCGCTTCCTATTAGCGCTAATAAATTGTAACACAGTTCCAGGAGAGGCATCCCGTGAAAGAGATTTCACTGCAGATGGCAGAAAGCTATAATTCCGGGAGCAATAAAAGGTTATTGCAAGCTGTGTTAAACTTCGCCACCCCCTCGGAACGAATAACATCCAGGCTTAAACAGAACGAGAAACAAGCATATAATTTTGTTTATATCCCTACGCTACGAGCCGCTGTGTTCAAAAGTGAGCCCCGAGCCAGAAGTTTTCGAGTGAGTTCCGTTAGCTATCGGCGACGGTTTGTTAGTAAATAATTGGCGATTGCTGGTGCAAGTGGCGAGGCTAGACTTCCTTCATGTGTCCAGAAATCTTACTCGAAGCCGACTGTATTATGAGCGGATCGTGCTCCCATGCCTGACCAAGATGACATACAATCGCCTTCTTCCAATTTTAATCCTCAAATTGGATTTTTTGAGCTATGCAGTTTAAGTTGCCATCCGAAAACCCTTAATTCTCCTCCACCACAACTTTCCTGAAAGGATTAGTGCTCAAAACCTAAGATAGACGTGAGAACATGTCTTTGGTTCACAGAAATGCTCGCAGCATAACCTTTAGAATTTTAAGATTATGCAATTGTCCTGAAGTCGCATGTGCTGGTGTGCTGTCATTTATTTCTGTGTGACGTAGACGATTTTATTACGATTTGCTTTTACATTGTCAGGGTACGGACTTTCGCAAAGTACGCTTCACCAGATGGCCAATGCGTTTCTCTCGTCAGCTTGAATCTCCTTCAATCGAGCGTGGGCCATCCGTGTCTTAATATTAATTCCTCACAATGTAATCGTATTCACCTACAGGAGTTCATTAAAGAATGATACTACTCAGGTGCATGGCTAAACTCTTTACCTCCATGCATGCAAGGTGGAAACGACTACGACTTTGGGGAATCGACATCCGTTACCGTATTCCCACCGTACCCCAACTCTAACACTAACTCTTACCCTACGTTGAGACCAACCCTATGCTTCTCCTTGACCCGTACCCTTGTCTTAACTCTAACCCGAAAAATAAACCTTATGTTCCTTGAATTTAGTACAAGATAAACTAATTAAGGAAAGGGACTCTTATTTCCCTCTCCTACCTATGAAATAACCGAATACTAATTATAATTCATCTTCTGCTCACCGGAATAAATTTGCAGATTTGCTGACGTTTCGGACAGCTGGGCCTGCTGTACTTTGTCAAAGCAAATACTGACTTTTATCGCTCAGGAGTTTAAAGTTGCAGATGTAAGTGTTGGCCTTGGGCTGATCGATTTTTATCCATTCGCTGTCTGGCCTTGTGTGCGTTTTTTGGCCTGGCGTGACGGTAATTGGTGGTCTGTTCTGTGCCCACGGTAGAGGACCTTGGTAATCCTGCTCCCTCTTCCGGTGGTTTCGTCACAGGGCCGTCTTCGTCTGCAAATCCTGACTTTGGTTTGACCGTGCCCTGTCCTTTACTTACGTAATGGCTCAGGACTCTGTAGGCCGCAGGGAGGTCCAGATGCCTGTTGACAACTTGGCGTCTGAGTACCATGCCTCAAGCTTCAATCATTCAGCTTTTGAGGCTCCTCGGCCTACAATGGTCGTTCCTTGAATATCGAAGTCGTGGCCGGTCCCTCCGATACGTGTGGTAAGCTGCGAGTTAGGGTCTAGTCTCCGGGCCGCCGCGTTGGGCGCGTCTGCAATTTGCGTCTTGTTTCTCCAACGCAATTATAGTCTCCATCGTTGCAACGTATTTTGTAGACAACTGCGGAGGTTTCAGTA